CTTTTTTTCCTGCCTCAGAAAACTGGCTTCATTTGACCACACTGCTTCTGGTCTTTGCCTTTTTTGAAAGTTTGTCATCTTATGAGGTTACTACTGGACGAATTTCTTGCCTTGACTTCTTCAGGTCTGGGAAACATAGACCAAATGAGCTGCAACTTGTCAGCAGGAAGAGTTCCTGACTTTTATTTTTGATTTCCGCAAACCTCCCCACCCCCCACCTCCCAGTTTCATTTCCATCTCTCCTTTTCAGCCCAGGTCAACTCAGCCCATTGTCCCCAACTAGTCTTCTTTCATTTGTTTGGAAAAGCAATTGGAAAAGAACAAGTAAGGATGAATGAAAGAAAAAGCATTTATAAAGTGCTTTGTTATTGTTGTTCAATTGTATACTACATGGCCTCATTTGGGTTTTCTTGGCAGAGATGCTAGAGTGGTTTGCCTTTTCCTTTTTCAACTCATTCGATAGAGGAGAAAACTGAGGCAAACAGGGTAAAGTGACTTGCCTAAGGTCACACAACTAGTAAGTATCTGGTGCCCACGATCACACAGATCCATATGTTGGAGGGGGAATTCCAGTTCAGGTCTTTCTGGTTCTAAGTCCAAAGTTCTATCTATTATGATACACTGCCTCCAAATGGGGTCACGAAGAGTTGGACTGAATGATTGAAAAATGACTGAAACGATAAATATCTTACATAGTTATTTACGTTGTCGTAACCCTACTGGGCTGTAAGCTTTATGAGGGTAAGATAATGTGTACCTTAAACTTTTTACTTCCTCAGTGTCTACCACTTTTCTCTTCACATAAAAGGTGCTTAATAAATGTTTCTGAGTCTTGCTAAAAAAATAATACAGGAGCATAGGGTCATAGGTTTCGAGCTGGAAGGAATCACTGAGGGCAGTCATTTAGCTCAATTCCTTATTTTACAGATGAAAAGTAAAGTGACTCTCAAGGTCACAGGAACTAAGTAGGAGAGCCAGGATTCAAGCCCATGTCTTTAAAAAGTTTGAAACAACGGATATATTTTGTTTTGACATCATCTAGCTCTCTCTCCCTCATCTTTCTTTTTCCACCTCCCAGATCATTATCCCATATAACAACAACAACTACAAAAAGATAAGAGGAAGAAAAAGGGGAAAAATGAGCAAAACTGGTCCATGCATTTAAAAAAAATCTGACAGTATATACAATATTCTACGCTGGTGGACCTAACCCTAACCCCCACCTCTGCAAAGAAATGTGGGGATACCTTATCGCATCTCCTCTTTGGGGTTGTGCTTGCACATTGTGATTTTACAATATTCGTCTCCACTTGTTTTGTGGTCATTCTTTCCATGTCCATTTCCATACTCACTGTGTATCTTTTTTCTTGGTTCTGCTTACTTACCTCTGAATCAGTTCCAGTAAGTCTTCCCCTGCTTCTCCGGATTTATAAGATTTGTCGTTTCCCGCAGCACAGTACTATTCACGAGCCACAAGTTGCTTAGTCGTTCTCTGATTGGTGGGCATCTTACTTAAATCCACATCTTCTGAATCTCCATCTTTCCATGGCCCCAAGCCCCATGAACTTGGGTTTGAGGAAGCTGGAGGAGTCTCCTTCCAACAGAGACCTCAACAAAGGGAAAGGAGAGATCCCTTCCCTTGCTTAAGTTGCACTGGAAGGTCTCTTATGTCCCTTCCAGCTCAGATTTTGGGATTGTTTAGAGACTTTGTATCTGTGTATAAATTTGAGGAGATAAGGGAAGGAAAAGAAAATATATATTGAAAGTACACGCAGGCATCCCTGATTCTTTGGCCAATGCTGCCCCCTGGTGCATATCTGGAGTACAACTGTAGTATTGGCAAGGATAGTGGTTTGCCATTTTCTTCTCCAGTGTGTCCCCATTTTACAGATGAGGAACTGAGGCAAATAGGAGTTAAGTGACTTGCCCAGGGTCACACAGCTAGTAAGTGGTCTGAGTCTGGATTTGAATTCAGATCTTCCTGACTCCTGGCCTGGTGCTTTATACACGGTACCACCTAGCTGTCCCACAACTAGGGTAGCCAAGCCAAAAGAGGTGTTTATTACTTCAGAGAATGGACGAGGAAAAGTGGGAGTGTAGGTAGGGATGGGGAGGGGGTGGGGAGGAAAGACTAGCAGGAGCCTGAGAGGAGCCAAGAGCAGAGGGAGGAAGAGGGAAGAACTCGGGCCCATATTGGCATTTATGTAGGTGTTGGCACAGTCTCCTCTTATCTCCTACCTTCCTCTTGGAAGACTGAGCCAAAAGGAACAGGTTCCCAGGAAAGTTTAAAGGAGTAAGAAGGTCAGAGCTGACGTCAAGAGATGATCCAGGTAGGATGTAAATACAGCCTGACCTACATTTTTTTTCTCTGTGCCTGCCCAAGCAAGACAGACCCTCAGTGCCTGGGGGCTTTCATCTCATTCACTTAGCATCCAAACACTTCCATTGTGGGCTAGGCCCAGCCTTTTGTACTCCTCTGCCTTTGTAACCCAAAGTTGATAGAGCAGTGAAACAGATCAGGAAGGGGTGGGGTAGGTATGGAAATGACTCTGTATTAGGATGATGGTTTTTGTTTAATTCAATTCAAACAAGCCTTAAGCCCCTACTGTGTACAAGACACTGTGCTAGGTTGGAGAAGAAGCTCATAACTACTGGGGATCATAGACTGAAAGGTGAAAGGGTTCTTAGAGGGCTCCATTCTACAGATGAAGATAATGAGGTCCAGGGAAGTGAAGTGATTCGCCCAGTGCCATTCAGAGAGTAAATGATAGAGCAGGGATTTGAACCCAGATCCTCTGACCCTAAATCCAATGGCAAACTCTCTCCCTGCCACCATTATGGAATAACTTTTCCTTCTTTGAGATTTATTCCTAGTAAGTTTCACCCTCTCTGGATCCTAGCAGCATGGTGGTGCAATGGATAGAGCACTGGACCTGGGGTCAGGAAGACTTCATCTTACTGAGTTCAAATCTGTCCTCAGTCATTTACTAGCTATGTGACCCTGTGCAAGTCACTTAGCCCTATTTGCTGCCTCAGTTTCCTCATCTGTCAAATGAGTTGGAGAAGCAAATGGAAACCACTCTATTGTCTTTGCCAGGAAAATCCCAAATGGGATCACAAAGGGTAGGACATAACTGAAAAATGATTGAACTGCAGTTCAGATCCTGGCCACAGTTTTTTCTCAAGTGTGGTACCTGGCTCGTAGCTTTCCTCTCCATCATAACTGCTGGGAAATCTGGGCCCTCTCCAGTTGTCCTGATCTTTCTCTGGCCAGTGGATCCAGATGGCTCTGGAGAAAACAGTGAGGCTGGTGACCTTGCACAGCCCTCCCTCACTCAAATCAAAGTCGATTGCAAGTTATGTCATCTCCCTGATGTCATGGTCCTCTTGAGAACGAAAGACAAACCACACACACAGCCCATGGAACATCAATGTCTATGCTGATGTCCTTTGAAACGTCCTGGCTGCCTAGTTCATCAGCCTTCCAAACTCCCATGATTCGAACCTTCATTCTGATTCAGCCACAGCCAGAGACTGACACATTCAACCGCAAGAGTTCTATCTTCCCATCCAGAACTCTCAAATTCCTCTCTCCAAGCGTGGTCTCTAATCATTCTACTTCTCCCTTTGTCTCACCTCTTCCCTTACTGAAACCTGCAGCAGATCCACCCTACCCAAAGCAGCCTTGCTCTGGCCTCATTTTTCTGCATTTGAAATCTGGACTATCTTAACTTGCTTAACTTTATTAGATCAGAGATTGAGACCTGGTTTATATTGTCTTCCACCCTGAATCTCCTGCCCTCTGGTCCTTTTCCAGCTCATTCCATTCCAAATCCTAACCACTCCAGCCCCCACCCTCTTACCTCACTTCCTATCACCTTTATTTCTGTTCCTACTCTTACGTCATTGAATGCACACAGCACAATCGTGCTGCCTGGAATCACGCCACATTGATGTTATGTCGTCTCAGTCAGGCCCTCACTGCTGCAAAAACTCCTCCCTGACTGACCCTCTGTCACATTCCTCACACAACCAGTTCCAAAACTCTTCTCTTCTTAAGCCACCTATACTTCCTCTTCCCTGTTCAGAAAGCCTTTTTATTTTCCTTTACCCAGAAAATTGATATCACCTCTCGTGAACTGCCTCTTCTCCCTAATTTGTGAATACCCTAAGCATCATCCTCCATTCTTTCTTCCTTTGTTGTCATCTTCGAGAGAGAGGTAGCCTGTCTTCTTGCCAAAGCCAGATCTTCTCTCCTTGATCCCATAATAAAAATGAAAATAGCCAGCGTTTATATAACACATCAAGGTTTGCGAAGCTCTTCACTCATTTTTTTTTTCCTTTTTGGTGAGGCAATTGGGGTTAAGTGACTTGCCCAGGGTCACACAGCTAGTAAGTGTGTCAAGTGTCTGAGGCCAGATTTGAATTCAAGTCCTCCTGACTCCAAGGCCAGAGCTCTATCCACTGAGCCACCTAGCTGCCCCTACCCATGTTTTCACATCTGATCCTCCCAACAAATCTGTGAGGTGGGTGCTATTATGATTACTATTTCACAGATGAGAAAACAGAGGTTGAGAGAGGTTAAGTGACTTGCTCAGGTTCACACAGCTAGTAAGTGTCTGAGGCAGGATTTGAACTCAGGAAGCTGAGTCTCCCTGACTTCAGGCTGGGTGATTTGTGCACTATGGCGCCACTGAGCTGTCAGATACAGCGAAAAGAGCCTGTCTAGTGGGAAGGGCACTGGACTTGAGTCAGAAATTCTTCGCTTTAGTCCTTCATTTGCTATTAGCTTGTGTGAACTTGGGCAAATCAGTGGTTGGAGTCTTGGACTTTGAGTTCAAGGAGATGGGTTGAAATCACAGCACCTGTGTGACCTTGGATAAGTCACTTCATCTCCCCAGGGCCCCAACTTCCTCTGTAAAAGGAGAAAATTGAATGAAACAGCCAAGCCCCACAGAGGTAGGGATGACAAACATTAAGAAAGCCAGAGGGAGCTTGACTGAGGGTTTAACCAACATTTTATTAACAAAAATAAATAGATTTCATGACAAATGAACAGATGGACAGATTAAGGACAGAGCTAGGACACCCTCGAGGCAGGTCTAGGGAAAGACCTATGTCCGGTAAAGTCATGGTGATGGAGAGGAAGGGAGGCACCAGGGAGGCCGTTCTTCTCTCTGGACCCCCCAAAGAGGCCCCATTTCCCATGTTCTTGTCTGAACCTGGGCACAGGGCCTACTCCCACTCCACCCTAGCCCCCTAGGCAGGGAGGAGGCTGACAAGCGGAGCCTCACATTCTCCCAGCAACACATCCCTCCGCAGGCCAGCTCCCTTGTCCAGCACCTTGGCCTTCAGACTGTGGGTGGCCAGGTCAGAGGGCTTAAGTCCCTCAAAGAAGAAGTCCTCATTGAAGATGGGGTTGGAACTACATTTTACCACCCTGCTCCGTCCCTGTGGCCAACTCCCTGGCCTTAGCCGAAATATGATACAGCAGCCACTGCTTCCCTTGGGTTCTACTCGGCCCCTGGGCAACCCTTCAGCACTGATGAGCCGTAGCCGCAGCTGACCCAAGCCTGTCTGGTACTCAGAGGACAATCTCAGCTGCCCACCCCGGGGTTCCAGGCTCACTACACTCTCTTTAGTCACCTGTAGCTGACAGCACAGAAAGTCCAGGTGGAAGAGGGGTGGTGTTGGGGGACCTAAGTGGTGGGCAGCATGGGGACTGGCATCGGCCGAGCCCTCCTCTACAGGGGATAGGAAGCCAGGTCTGGTGAGAAGCAGCTTGGGTGAGCCTAGGTGGGGTCGGGCAGGACCTGGTTGGGGTGAGCTGAAGGGTGAAGAGTCAGGTGAGGAGGCCATGTCACTCTCCAGGGCCAAGCAGAGGCGCAGATCCGGACTTGAGAGGTGCAGTCGGGACTTGGGTGGGGGTCCCTCCGAGGCAGAGGTCACTGGGGCCATATGGAAAAGGGACTCTCGGCGCCGAGTATGGGGGCTCTCCAGAAGAAAGGACCAGCCTTCCCGTCCAGCCAGATGGGGCAGGGAGCAGGCTCCTTGGAGTTCTGGCCCCCTAGTCCAGCCTGTTTCTCTCTCTGTCCCGGGTTCAGAGCCCCCCATGTCTGGGAGCCTGGGGGGGATAAAAAACTGTGGTATTCGGTCTGGGGTTAAGACATTGGGGTAAGCAGAAGAGGAAGTCCCAGGGGGCTTTCTCCTGGGGAATAAGATATGGGGCCTCCATGGTGTCCCAGGCTCTACCCTCTCTCCCTTGTAGCCAGCTTTCTCCAAAAGCCACATGGACGGAGGGGAGGCACAGAGTTAGGGGAGTTACAGAGGAAGACGGGAAAGTCCAAGTCCACAGTCGCTGGCTGAAGGTGCTGGGCTAGGAGGGAGAAAAATAGAATCAGGAGGTGGGTACTGCTGTCCTAATCCTGATAATTCAGGGTGGCGCTGAGGTGCCCATTTTCCCATTTTCTCCCACCTCCCTCCCTACCCTCTCCCTTTTTCCATCCTCAGGCTCTGGTTACCTTCTGAACAGAAAGCGAGAAATGAAAGTATAATTAAGAACAAGAGATACCACTAGTTAGTGCCTGGACATTTAGATTCATGGAAGTGGATAATTACACATGCCCACAGATGAACACACCAACAGCAGAGATAGAACAGCATAGACCAGCACAGGTACAGAGAGAGAGGCACCCACAGCCATGGACATCGGCATGCCATAGGCAAGCTTGGACAGGCAGACACACAGTTATACTTGTATACAGGGACTAGTAGAATGGAAGCTCTCTGAGGGTAGGGACTGTCTTTTTTTGGTCTTAGTATCTCCATTGCCTAGCACGGTATCTGGACCATTTGTTGTGTTTTTCAGCCATGTCCCACTCTTTGTGACCCCATTTGGGGTTTTCTTGGCAAAGATACTGGAGTGGTGTGCCATTTCCTTCCCCAGCTCATTTTAGAGATGAAGAAATGGAGGCAAACAGGGTTAAGTGACTCGTCCAGGGTCATACAGCTACTAAGTGTCTGAGGTCAGATTTGAACTAAGGAAGATGAATCTTTCTGACTCCAGGCCCAGCACTCTGCCACCTAGTGCCCCATAGTAGATTCTTATTAAATGCTTGTGAAAATGAATTGAATGGACAGGCACAGATAGACATATATGTGTGTGCGCACGCACACACACACACACACACACAAGTACATTCTCACAGCCAGCAACAGACATAGGCACACTTATACACAAAAGGACATAAGCATATATCAGACAGAAATGTCCTTTCCATAGAGATATAGTAACACATCAGGATAGTTGGGCTGTAGGCAGCCAGGTAGCACAGTGGATGGATGTCTGGCCTTGGAGTTCAATTCCTCCCCCAGACACTTACTAGCTGTGTGACTCTAGGTAAGTCACATAACCTTCCTTCACCTTAGTTTCCTCATCTGTGAAATTGCACTCAGTGCCTTCTAAGTTCCAAATCTATGAACATTGGATAGAGGGGCCAAACGTAGGCACACAAGCATATTGCCTGAGCTATATCATTTTAGATTAATTAATAGCAAAAGGACAAAGACAAACACCGGTCCGGGGCCAGACATACACACCTGGACCTAAGTAAACACCTACAGGCCTAGACGTAATTAGGCATACCCATCCTTTCCCTGCAGCTCCTCCATACCCCCTCCTACTCAGAGACCTCATAGATCCTACTTTGGCCTGGTCTGATCATCCCTCAGCCTTCCTCTGTCTCTGCTGGTAACCCCCATCGTGAGTTGTCCCCTCTTCCCAGTGAGGAATCAATGTCAGCTCTAGCCCTCGGTCCCAATCTCTGCCACACCTGCAGCGTTCCAGATCCACAGATCTATTCAGCTGAATTTCCTCGTGGCCAGACCGGAACCTGCCTTCTGAACTCCTTTAATGACCTAAGGTGGTTTGAAGGTGGTGGGAGAAGAGGGGCTTCCTGGGGAAGAGGGCTCCTTCCCTTATTCCAGATCCTCTCACAAAGTGCTGATGCACCTGGAGCCTATGGGGCGTGTTGGTCCAAGGGCAGCGTCTGTCCTTCTTCCCCATCCCCTCCCTTTCTCACTTCCTGTCCCACCAGCCAGTGGGAACCTGTTATTGAAAGCCAAGCACAAAGGAAGCATTCATTAATTTCCCCCCCACCCCCCAGATGCTGTTACTCAGGGAGCTTCTGGGCCTCTTTCAGCTTTATTGAATAATCCCCTCACCCCCATTTTCAGGTCTCCATGATCTCTTTCCCAAGGCTGATCACCTTCTGTATTCCTAGGGCCTTTCCACTCTTATCCCCAGGGTACCCCACACCTGGCTCTAGCCACTCTTCACTGGTTCTCCCCCATTCGCTACTGTTGTTTGCTGTCAGTTTGTCAGAGTGTCTCTGAGGGTGCCCCGGAGTTGCTAAGCTCACCTGTTGCTTGCTGTCTTGCCCATGGGCCCTGGGGAGTCGGGGAAAGGGGAGAAGGTACAAATTCTCTCCCCTACTCATTCCTCTAGCTCCGTCTTTCTGGGAGGAGCCAGCAGGGTCTGCTGCTGCCAAGTCTGACCTGTTTTCCTGAATAAACACTGAAACTCTGTTTCTGTGACCATTAGCCCAGCCTCCTTAACCCCTTCTTCCAGGCAGGGTATGGGGCTAGCCCTCCTCTCTCAGAAAACTCTCAGGGAGAGGGAGGAGATGAGCTTACTTAACCTCCACCTCCATCTATTGTCTGGATTCACTGGTAACTCTCAGCCTTAGGAAAGGAAATGGGTACCAGGAGCTCCCATCGCTCTTGCAGTCACTATGCCTAGGTCCTTGTGAAGCTACAACCGCATTGATTACATAGATAACCTAGTCCTGTCTTCGGTCTTGGTAAAAATCTAGCTCCTAAGCCCGTCCTGAAAGTCCACACTCCGTCCCCCTTTTGCAAGGGACCTCCAATCAAGCATTTGTCCGGGCACACAGTACCTATCAAAGAGTACCAGAGAGAACTTCTGGGTCATCCTGTCCAATTTCTTGCAGCAATGCCCTATGGTGAAGGGAACACAGCCCCCTCTCTTTAGATAACCAAGGGAACTGGTGAAATTTCTCATTCCTTTCCGGGCTCCAATTCACAGGCCAGTGTCTCTCAAATTTGGGAAGGATGACAGAGCTGGGGGATATCGGGAAGTCAGGGCCCTCAGCTCCAAGGAGTGGGAAGAACTCAGAAGGGCCCAGGTACCCTTGATCTTGGCTGCTTCTGAACCTCTTTTTGCAGCCCCAGAATACTGGATGGTGGTATCTAGAGAAGGAAGAAGGTGGATACATATACAAGGTGGAGAGGAAACAGTAGCGCATTCCTCATCTTTAGCTCAGGATGTGGGGGCCAGATAGGATAGAGGAAAAGGAAGGAATTGAAAGGGAAGGAGAGGCTGAGTGTCTTTATATCATCCAGAGGCCCTTCTATGGGATCTCTCAGTCCTGGAGCTTCTCCTTGGGATCTGGGGAGCCTCCTAGGAGGTCTGTCCTGGGTCATTGTGTGAAGTCTTATCAAGGGTTCCACTCTACCAGGGACCTCATTTTCTCCTTTGCTTGTGTTCTGCTCAGAGCGTGGGTTAGTGGGCATCTCCAAATCTTCCCTGGTGTCTGACCGATAGAACCAACCAAAGAATCAGCAGAGAGAAGTGAACATCCGGAGAGAAGTAGCCTGGGTTGATTGTCTCAGGTTGGCCATCTTGAGTGTAATCACTTAAATTTCGTAGACAAACTCCAACCAATGATAATATGTAAATACCAGTCAAAATTACACATGGACTAGCTATGTGACCCAGGGGCCATGGGACCCTTATCCTCCCTGGGCTTTAGTTTTCTCATCAGGAAAATGAGGGACCTGGACTAGGGTCTTTTTCAGTCTTGACATTCTGTGATGTGAAAGGATTTTTGACTGGTAATCCACTCCAATAGGAAGCTCTTTGGTGTCAAAGAGTTATACCGTGAGTAACTCATGAATTTCTATTTGGCAATGTAGCGAGTCACTCTAAGTGAGCCAAATGCCTTTGTGTGTCTGTGTTGGAGGTGACTGGTCAGTCACCATGGACTCTGGAGATCTTGATATCATCCTATGTGAATTAATGTACAAATGATTTTTGTCATTTGATGGTCGAGTACTTTTGATGGTTGAGCAATTATGTTTATTTATTTGTTCAGTTTATTACTGGCGACCCTCGGATGTGACAGGTGTGTTGAGACTCACGGCTTGCCCATTGTTAACCTTTGCCCAGCTTGATGTAATAGTGAATTTGAGTTTTTTGAGGGAGACAGCATTGGAACGTGGGAGGACTGGATTGAAGGACCAAGAAACCCGAGTTTTGGTCCAGGTTCTGCAACTAGCTGTGTCTTTGGGCAAGTTGCTTCACCTTTCTAGACCTCAGTTTCCCAATCTGCAAAATGTAAGGATTAGCAAAATTCCCATCTTGTACAAGAGCCCTTTTCTGTCTACCTTCCTCCCTGCCTCTCACTTCCTTATTAGGTTACCTTCTATTTTCGTTGTATATAACTTGTGTGTTTGCAAAGTGTCTCCCTCATTCAAATGCGAGCTCCTTCAGGGCAGAGACTGTGTGTTTGCCTTAGTAGTCTCCAGAGCTTGACACATGGTAATAAGTGCTCACCGATTGACTGACTGACTGACTGACTGGACCAGACCAGGGAGCCTCTAAAATCCCTGTGAATGTACACCAGCAACCCAGGACTGAAAATTGAATAGAGATCAAACAGCTTATACAATCTGTACTTGATTAATTAAAAGTTGATTGTATTACATAGGGGTTAGTTGGGCTATAGTAGCCATATAGGTGCCATCTGGTTAAGCCAAGGGGATCCTAGGGGACCTGGAATGCAAATTATCTGCTTACTGGAAAGGTCAGATCCCCTGGGTGTAGTGACAAGACTGAGCAACACTGTCTTGGCCTAGTCACTCTTGACAGGGTCACACAAAACCAGGAGGAGTTAGAGGAAGAAGAAGGTGGAGAGGTCCATGTTTGCGTGCATGTGTGTGTGTGTATGTGTGTGTGTGTGTTGTACGTGTGTGTACACGTGCATGTGTGTGTGTGTGAAAAGAACCCCAACTTGAAGTAACTAGGCTTCAGTATGGGACTCTCATCTAGCTGCTCCAAAGGGAATGGAGAGCTAAGCAGGCCAGAGGTTCAGATCAATAGTTCTGATTCCCAGGTAGAGACAGGCCTGTGAGGTAATGATTCTATAATTTGAGTGGTAGATGGAGCTGTGGGAATTTCTTTGTTTCTCTCTCTCTGTTTCTCTCTCTCACACACGTCTCTCTCTCTTTTCTCTCGCCCTCATCTCTCTTCTCTCTCATACATCTCTCTCTCTCTCTCTCTCTCTCTCTCTCTCTCTCTCTCTCTCTCTCTCTCTCTCTCTCGCCCTCATCTCTCTTCTCTCTTATACGTCTCTCTCTCTCTCTCTCTCTCTCTCTCTCTCTCTCTCTCTCTCTCTCTCTCTCTCTTCTCTCTCTTGCAAGGCAGATCAGTGTCCTCAGTTGAGTAGTGGGTAGGTAGCATGTAGGGACACGTTAGGACTGGCTACTGTTATTGTCCTCTTCCAATTCCAGCTGAAAGAAAACTCCTGAAACAGAGATGAGAAAGCAAGTCAGTGCTGGGCTGGCCATTTGGATTCTATTTTCAATACAGTCTGTTTGTTGTTTCCAAGGTCCATGAACAAACTCTGATTCCAGACTGGGATTTCTAAATCTGCACTAGACCTTCCCCCAACATCATTATCATTATAGAATTATAGAATCCCTCCCCAACCCTCAAACACATCTATCTATGTGTTCTGTCCTTAGTCAGAAACTCATAGAATGTCAGAGCTAGAAGGGACTTATCAGGCTGAGGTCAAGGAATGAAAAAGCCATTTTAAGATCAGCCTACCCTTGGAAAGAAAATCTGTTTGCTTTGTTTGGTAAAAGACGTGGACAGGGAATTAGTCAATAATTATTTATTAAGCATCTACTATGTGCCAGGCACTGTGCTGCTACAAAGAAAGGTAAAAGGGGATCCCTACCCTCAAGTAGCTCACAGTCCTAATGGGGGAGATGACATGGAAACAACCGTATTTAAACAAGCTACATACAGGATAAACCAGAGATAATCAGCAGAGGGAAGGCACTAGAATTAAGAGGGATGGGGCAAAGCTTCCCGTAAAGGGAGTATTTTAGAGGGCTCTTGAAGGAAGCCAGGAAAGCCAGGAGTTGGAGATGAGGAAAGAGCTCAGCTCTAGACCTGCCTCTCTCTGTCTGCCTCATTCTGTGATTTTAGACAAATCACTTCACTTTCTCACCTGTTTCCCCCTCTGTAAAGTTAAGTGGTTGGATTCTAAGATCCCTGTTCTTGCCTTTTAGAATAGAAACCCCTTAATCTGGGACTTTCTCTTGGCTGAGCTATCTCACTCCCAATGGGAGAGCTCCTCCACTCTGTGCTAACTGGTAGATATTCTTCCATGTACACTTTTTCTAATTTCTATTTTGCTACAATTTGGATAAACAGGTTTCTTTGCTGAAAAAAATAAAAATAAAAAGAACATAAGCAACCTGAGGCCAGGGGTGTTTTCACTCTTGTCTTTATATCCCCAGCAATTATACCAATGGGAGAGATGTTGTGGAGGGAGAAGTGACAAGATTTGTCAGCTGACTGTCGGGTATGTGGGATAAGGAGTTGAGGATAATGCTGACCTTAGGGATGCCTGCCCCGTTGTCTCCCCAGTCCTTTCCTTAGCATCACAAGGTTACGTCTGAGGAGCTTGATATGACATCAAGGATGAGAACAGTTAAGTGATTTGCTCAAAGTCACATTCACACGGGTGTTGAGTGGAAGAAACCAGTCACGCTCAGGATGTCTTCCAACTCCCAAACTAGCAGCCTGCCTGTCGTACCTACCCCATGGCCTCCTCTCTATCAGTGTTCCCCCATAGCTCCCTTCTCCTTTAGGGTCTCTCAGTCCTCTGTCTCCTTCTCTAGGGAGAGCCCTTTTCTTCACATGGTGCCCTATCCTTGATGGATTCTTCTGAGCTGTCCAACATGGAAAGAACCCTAGAAAGGCTGTATGCCTCAGCGTCCCTGCCTAGTTTCCAACCTCCTTATAGGATACTCCAGACTATTTGCAGGCTCTGTAGACCCCTGACTCCCTCTAGCTCAGTTCTCAAAGAGGAGAGAGGTGAGAAGTAGGAAGGAAGGCGATTTGACCGGCGCCCAACATGGGATGGCGTGTTTTACCTGAAGCCTTGGCAAAAAGCACCTGCTGGTCAGGGCTGTGGGCGATGCAGGACAGGAAAACCTTCTGGTCCTCTATCTTTTCTACTTCCACTTTCAGCAGGACCACAGAGTTCATGGGGATTATGCTGGGAATGGAGGTAAAGGTCAGCGCCTGCTCTTTCAGGGCCTCCTGTCCTAAGTTCCCCAGGCCCTAAATGGGGCTGCACTTAAGAGTCAAGGACTTGATTCTTTAGGACAGAGAGATCTTTTGGGACCAATCAGAGCCTTCTTGTCTCTCCC